CAGATTAGTAAACGTTACTCATGCCATGGGCTTTAAGATTTAAGGTGCAAAAAGTGAAAGTAATTATCACACCATCTTCCACCAGGACGACCTGCTCCCAGCGATATTTTTTGCAGAAAATACAGAATATTCTACTTTAAGTGTCTTTGTTTTTTCCTGCAGCTACGTGGGTGGGAGGAGGTTTTATTCTGGGTGTGGCTGAGGCGGTGTACACTCCCAAAATGGGCCTGGTGTGGGCTCTGATGCCGATACAGTACACCGTGTCCTTCATAATAGGTGAGAGGAGTTATATTTAATACAGACGTGTGTTTGTTTTTTACATTGTTTTGGTCCAAAGCATTTTGTTCAGCAGCAACAGGATCTCCTCTGTTGCATAAGGTGGTCTTTTCTTCGCCAAGCCGATGAGGGACAAGAGGTACATCACCATGATGGACCCGTTCCAGATCAAGTACGGAAAACTCCTGAGCGGCGTTCTGGTGCTGCCGTCGGTGCTGGGCGATGTGCTGTGGGTGTCCTGCACTCTGCTCGGTTTGGGTAAATACACCAAATAACTGATGAACCCATCGACAGGGTGCAGCTCCAGCATTTCAAACGGTTTCTTTTCCGACAGGAGCGACGATGAGCGTGATCCTGGACCTGCCGTACGCGTATTCTGCGTGGCTGTCGGCGGCCGTGGCCATCGTCTACACTCTGCTAGGAGGCCTTTACTCCGTCGCCTACACTGACGTCATCCAGCTGTCGCTAGCATTCATCAGTCTGGTGAGGGTTTTTTAATATTTAACAATCCAAAATACCCCCCAACAAATTACAAAAAAATACATATATGGTTGGGATGCACGATGTATCTGCGACCACATCGGTATCGGTCCGATGAACAAATGTAGCCGATGTGAAATAGTTTAACCCTCTGAGCTCTAAACCAATATTTATCAGAACCAGAAACTGTAAAAACAGGAAGTAAAAAACCAGTGGATTGGACTTTCACCTGTCCCACGGTCCCTGAACTACTCATCTGTGCAGCTCCATCAGGGAAAAGTCTTGATGTTTCATCAAAACCTTTATTCTACACGTCTCATTTAAACATTTGCCAAAAAAAACAAACATTTGCAACGATCTGATTCTGTAAAATAAAAAATCAGTGAGTGACCAACACTGTGACAAACGTTCTGAAGCTTTTGGGTTGAACTGCAGGAAGTTTACAGACCAGTAAGGAAACCAATTTGATTTCCTCTTTTGTTATGATGTTATAACTGTGTCATACTGTATATTTAGAGATTTCTGAGGTCTCTCTCCTTCTAGTCCTGGTTGTTCTGTTTCCACTGAGCTGCAGGACTTTATGTTGCAGTGAAGAATGAGGATGTTAAACGTGACCTGATGTGATCATGTGTCTGCAGTGGCTGTGCGTCCCCTTCCTCATGCTCAACAACGCGTCCATCAGCATCGCTCAGACTGCCTTCAACCACACCTTCCAGGAGCCCTGGGTCGGCTCTCTGGACCTGGACAGCGTCTGGAGGTGGATCGACGACTTCTTGATGCTGGTAAGCCGGACGCTGATCTGCATTTACAAGAAGCTTCGAGACGTTTCTGTGAATAAACTGATAGACAGACAGCCTTCTGGGCATGTCTCTCTCTCACAGATTCCATTTGATTCAGCTGATATTCAGATTCAATTTAGCTTCTGTTTGACAGATTACGCGTAACCTGCTGTGACGCAAGCAGACCGTAAAAATAAAAGGCAGTAAATATGTCTGCTTTCAGTAAATGACGACGACATGCTGTCATGCACAGAGCAGAGAGCATCAGATAGCACATCAAAAGTTAGCTGTCTGGGGCCTGTTTCGTTAAGTTTACCAGATAATTCAGGTTACTTCAGTTAGCCTGACTTAGTTTTAGTTTATTTTAGTTCCACGAGCTCAGTGACTCTGAAGCTAACCCGGTCCAGAGCAGGTTACCTGTCAGGTCACACTGAACCCATGAGGAAAACCAAGAGTCTACCTCTGACTCAGTGGTATGCGTCCATTTGTTTGACCTTATTGCCCAAAAACGTCAGTTTAAAGAAAATAAACCAAAGTAAATAGATCACACAGTGATAAATGACAGGATTATTCTGGTAGTTTAATCGTTCCTTGAAGACGTTCCAGCTCTCATCCTAGTTGGGAGTTCCACATTCTTCTGTCCTTAAGGAGCCATTAACACCTGAGTTTGGGTTTGGGGACAACCTTCACACCGAGCCACCTAACGAACCCCACTGTGGCACTAACGACTCGCATAACGAGGGGGAGGAGCAACGAACCCCCAGTTGAATCGCCTCCTCATCCCGCTCTGTCCTTTAATATTGTGCAACCGCAGTAAATGCTTTACTTCAAAAGTCTGATCAGAGTTTGTACCCAAAGCAAACACACGGATTAACTGCGTCGGTCAGATCAATCGTTCATCTGGCAGCGGTTCAGTTGGCAGCTGATGGTTAAAGAGCCTCTGAGCGGTCAGAGAACTGCTGCAGTTTACTGAGCAGGACTGCAGCAGCTGCTTTGTGATGTGCTATCTGTGTCTTTGTTGCCCAGTGAGCTCAGACATGTACGTTCTGTGACACACTGCAGCTCCTACATGAGACCTGAATGCTCTCCGTGTCCTCCTGCTCCTCTGCTTCCTGCAGGGTCTCGGCAGTCTTGCGATCCAGAGTTTCCACCAGAGGACGCTGTCGGCCTCCTCACCGCAAACAGCCCAGTGGACCTGCTACGCCGCCGCCGTCATCATCGCCATCCTGGGGATCCCTCCTGTGCTGGTCGGGGCCGTCGCCGCCTCCACAGGTGGGAATTAAGAGCTCAAGTTTATTGCAATAATTATCACGGCTCTCCTTTTCTAGACACCTTTTCTCTGAGTCGAGTTTTGTGTGATGAGTAGGATGCTTTTTACTTTTCCCAAAGATAGTCATAGCTGACATGTGGAGCACAGCTGGAACATGAAATATTTCACTGTATTAAATCAGTAAAAAATACATTTAGACAAATATTTGCTGTTATTTAAAAGAAAGAATATGTTTGAAAAGTCAGTTATTTTACAGATGTTCCATGTTTTGTTAAATTACAGATAACATCCAGTAAAATCACATAAAGTGTTGTTTACATGTTCACTGTAAAAATAAAAATGTTTTAAAATTCAAATTTAAATTAATTATGTGACGAGAGTCCTGAAAGTTTGCACATGTGCGTACAGTCCTAAATGGCACAACCCTTTATAAAATAGTTTGAAGGACTATGAGGACAATATTTAACTCCTGCATTTATCATACGTGCACAAAAAAACATAATTTAAATAATTAGTTTCTCATAAAGCTTGCCTCTGACTGCCGGTCACAGGAAACATTCAGCCTCTTAGGGTTAAAGGTTTTATAGTTGGTGGATTATTGGAATGGAACATTTTACCAAACTTACACCATCATACAACTGGTTTGTTTTATCAGAGCAGAGCTGCATCATTGGAGACAACATGTAGATATTAACGACCAGGACTCTCACTACATTATTTCTCAAGTTATGGCACTTCAAACATTGCTCCATAATGCTGCCGCCGCCATGCGCAGCAGAAATGCACATGACCCAACCTGTGGGCCCAGATTTTAAACACGATCGACTCAATCAGTGTTCACCACCATGGAAAAAACAAACAAATCAGTCAAGTTATAGACGATCAGGCGTGGGGCCGTTAATGTTTCCTACCTTCAAGTGACTAACGCCGACCAAACCCACATCAGGCTGCTTGATAATCAGCAGTTACAGTTTGTGGCCTGTGATCTACTGTCCCGTGGTTGACGTGGATCTACTTTTAAATTTAACTGCTGGTTTTTCTTATCCAGACTGGAACCTGACGCAGTACGGGTTGCCGTCGCCGCACGGCCGCGATGAGCACACTTTGATTCTGCCGCTGGCCCTGCAGCACCTCACTCCCTCCTACATCTCCATCATCGGGATCGGAGCCGTGGCCGCCGCCGTCATGTCGTCGACGGACTCGGCGCTGTTGTCGGCGACGTCTGTTTTCTCCTCCAACATCTACAAGAACATCCTGCGCACGAAGGTGACGGCTTCGACTGGCAGCAAAGAATCTGTTTTCACGCATGTCATTAAATAATGGAGCGTCTCGTTTTCTGTGTCCCCAGGCGTCGGACTGCGAGATGCAGTGGGTGATTCGGGTCTCGGTGGTGGTGGTGGGTCTGGTCGGCACTTCCATAACGTTCTACACCAAAAGCACTCTGGTCCTCTGGATTCTTGGCGCGGACATTGCCTACACGCTCATATTTCCGCATCTGGTTGCTGTGCTCTTCTTCAAAGTGACAAACGGTTACGGCGCCTTGGTGGGTTACGTCGTGGGGCTGACGATGAGGGTTTTGGTGGGAGAAGGAGCCATAGGGCTTCCTGTGGTTCTTCAGCTTCCTGGTTGCACGTTGGAGGATGGCGTCTACGTCCAGAAGTCCCCCGTCAGGACGGTGTGCATGCTCTGCACCATGGCCACCGTCTTGGTTTTTTCCTGGTTGGCCGACTTCCTGTTCAACCGCGGCCTGTTGCCTGAGAGGTGCGACGTTTTTAAGGTGAAACGTGGCGACGCCGGCGCTGCAACGTCAGCAGATGCCGTCACGCAGAATCTCAAAGACGAAGCCGGAAGTGACGGCGACGGCGATTGTGACGGACAAGGAGTTCCCTTACAGCCAATTTCACAGACTGACAGATAACTTTTCTTTCGTACCTTTGCTATGCTGCTTTTCACTGTAATTTAAATAGCTGTGTATATTTACAGAAATTGCAAATTAAAGCTGCTTTTAATTCAACCAACTAACTGGAAACTTGAAGGGTTTGTAAGTAACCAAAGCCTCAAGTATGGAGGCAACCGCTGGAGGCTTGTGTTCGTTGATGTCCAAAACACCGTAAGAAGCAGTTACATGATCGTGGATGTGAACTGACCTACAGGTACAGCAGCAACTAGCTCCAGTGTTGACTGTAAAAGGCTCCAGATGTGTGCAGCAGCAACACATTTTGGTGTAACCTCGTCAGACTAGAATCAGCTGAAAGGGGAACGAGGGGCTAGTTTATTAAGAAAGTTATTTATTGCTGCTTTTGGTGTCTTGTCTCCGTCTGTCGGAGATGACCAGCCAACTTTTCTACACGGCGATGAGCAGAATAACCGTCACGGGTCAGTAATAAGCTGAATCCAGGGCTTTCAGCGTGGAGGTAGAGGTGTTTCTGTACATCTAAGATGGACACAAAGAGGAAAAGCTGCTTTGTTTCTGTAGAAATACCAAACCTTCTGTTGTAGCTTGCAGACTCGTGTACCAGTATACAACTTAAATGGAAGTTTTGATCCCAAAAGACCCCCGCTCAATGCTCCGACTGTAAAATCCCTACTTACCCAGAGCAGTATCAAGTCATACCAGTAGTTTTGGTTTTGTTTGTTGACAGTTTGAGACGCTCATTACCAAGATTTCTCCCCAAATGCAGCAGAAATCAAAAGTATTCAAACTGTGCCAGTCAAATGTCTTTCCAGAAGCAGTGTCTGTTATTCTGGGTAATCCACAGATCTCACTTCCCATGGGAACCACTCTGCTAAAAAAAACAAAAAGAAATTTTGCTCTTCAGTTCTTCAAACATAAATTTCCAGATCTTCTACTGCAGTACAAACAAAGTTCAGTTTCCTTTGTGTAGCAGAGTGACCCTGGTTTGCTGTTAATACTCAGGACGGCAGCTGATCGTTAAATGTCCCAGCATCCTTCCATCTTCACGAGGAAAACGTGGAGGTAAATGGATCATAAAACTAAAATGACGTAGGAGTGGTTTGCAGCTACTCGTATATAATTAAGTCGGTTTGTACTAAACGCTGGGCGCCATGTGGGTCTCAGGACTTTCACTCATGTTGTAGCACCATCCGTTTAAGTCACGGAAAATACACGTATGTCTCCTGGAATTTGAAGTCCACAACATTACTGTGTTATAAAACATAGATTGCAAAGACCGAATGGCCCTCGCACCATGAATGGGATGTTCGTTGTTTGACTGAGGGATGCTCCGTTTGTGCACCAGAGAGGCCGATGAGAGTTTAGTTACGACACCCGACAGCTGGTTTCTTTATAGAGATCAAATTTGTACATAAAGATAAATAAATGAATACGAGAGAGCTAAACAGTTCAACAATACACTTTACGTGATACCTCACGAGATCTAATGACACTAAGATGTCCATAATTTACCCAGAATTGTACATTTTTGTCCAAAAATGTTGGGATAACATCCTTGATGAAGACGTACGTCATCCAATCATTACTAAAAAAAAAATGGCTGCCCTGTTTTTCCACTTGCTTACTCTTATGTGTTGCCTTTGACATTTTGAAAACTGTCCCTCCTGTGTTACCACCTTTACGTACGGCACGTACAGTCGATGCCTGTTGCTAAGTTAAGCTGAAAAATACACCATGCTTGAAGTTGCTCGGGTCTCTCACCTCTTCATTAATGTTATACAAGCAAGTATATAACACTCACCATCGTACACTTTTTGGTACGATGGAGCAGCTGGTCGACAACACCAGACGTTTTCTCCAACATTAGTACGAGAGACGTCCTGATCGAGTTTTGTGTTTTCCTTCTGATTTGAGGCATTTAACGTTTAGTATCTGCAAATACCAAGTCCCCACCGAGTTCCATTGTCCTTGATTGTACACACTGACTGAAATCAATCCACTGTGTTGCTTGACGACTGAACAACTCTGCCAAGCATTCAGAAAAAAATCTGCATTCCTGCATCTGAGCTGGTCCTCAGTAGGACTTAGGTTGGACTGTGGCTCCACAAGCTCAATGAAAATCTGATTTCTCTCAATGTGTGCCAAGAAAATGTGGAGCAGCTGTAGTACCTGGTTGTTCCACCAGGTGGAGCATCAGTCGGATAACAGGAAGCTTTGTGTTGGTGAGTACAGAGCATTGTGAGGCCACCATGACAAAGATGTACGTGGTGCTTAATGACCTCCGAGCAGAGACCAGAGCTGCCTTACTGGTTTCTATCGTGTGTCTGTTGACTGAACCACATTATTATCACAACACAAATGTCTGCTGAGCCCAATTATCAACTACAGATTGTTTATCATGACTTTCTGTCCAACTTACCGCTTTTGTTTTCACCCCAAAGCACAGCGTCACAGATTACACACTTAAGTTATCAAATTTGAGCCGCTCAGCCTTGAAGGTACGTGTCCTACATTAAAAACAGTCTCTTTATGCTGCAATAACAATAATGAGGGCAAAGGCACTGCTCCTCTGTGTACCATACCGACGCCCCTACTCCTCTTCAAGTTATGTAATCAATTTTGTATTCCCCAGCAAATCATGCCAAGATGCCAGCGAGCTAAATTTGCTCCCACATTACTGTAACACAAGCCTTGACGGGCAGATAATCTTCAGCAGATGGCCTTGCTCTACTGTTGGGTTTCTGGCAGGGCCAGCCCTCCTCCAAACACCCTAATATGTAGATCATGACTCCGAGTGCCTGCGGTGTTAATCAGTGCAGGGATCTCCCGCTGGCTTATATTAATAAACAGAATATTTCGTCTTAGCTGCAAAGAGACGGCAGCGCGTTTAATGGCATGTCTGGATTTGACCTTTCCTCAGCGTGAGGTTGTCACCATACGCTCCTGACACAGATAGATGAGTTGTATAGAGCCTAAAAAGGCTGCTGGGTTAAAATATGGGTCAATCTATTTTAGAACAGGAAGACATTATAGGCCGACGTCATAAATTTAGACAAGAATCCCTGACACACGGGGCGACCCGATAGGGGGCATACCACAGGGGCGCAAATTCCCCCGAGCTGGGAGTTCGCAGTTCGATTTCCGGCTCGACATTCCCCAACTCCCGTTCCTCGCCGCCGTTTCTGTGAAAAACGCCACCAAAATCACGAGAACAGTGCAGCCAAGATCCCAAACGGCAGCCATGACTGTTGCCCTGGATTCGGACACGGATATAGTTCCCAACTGTCGAGCGACTGACCCTTCTGATGGAGACGTATTGTATTTAAAGCCACTGGAGGCAGCTGTCGCACAGTGGAGCAAAAGGTTAAATCATACCACGAACTTCCGTGCACGTATGCACAGCTGGTGCTGCGTCACGGCAGAGAGTGTCTGAAGATTGTCTGTCATCCAGGTCACGGGTATCCAAGGAGAGTTTAATCAAGGGCAGCGGGGATCTGCAGACGCCTGAAGACGTTTTACCCAAAAGGTTTCTTCAGTTCAGTTCAGAGGAAGCCTCTTGGAAAAGACGTGAAACTTTCTTGGAAACCAGTCCCCTTTTTAACCCTCTCAACCTGGCGTTTGCTGCTCCTGCCACATTTTCACTCACTGTGGGCTCATTTTTCACTGCAGCTTAGAGTCCTGCACCTCCATGGAAACAGAACAACCAGGACTAGAAGCAGAGAGAACCCAGAAATGTCTTTAGTGCAATATAGGATTATTACAAAACTGTAAATCACAAAAAGAGGAAGAAAAAATCAACTTGAAAAAACCTGAAATCAACATGTTGAAAAAGTGCCAAGAGCAGGTCATGTTGGCAAGCAGAGGGCATTATGGGGGTTTAGCTAGCAACGGGGACCATGACAACGGCTAACGTGGTGCTTAGTGACCTCCAGCCACAGCTTATGTGGGAGATGTCCATCCATGATTTGATTATTGATTAATAACACTGCCAGTTATTGACAAAAGAAATTATTTGCAAATTGTGCCGTAACTGTCCGACACCTCTGTAGCAGCAGATGTAAATAAAAGATCAGGATTCGCTTTGTGCCAATCAGTTAAAAAATGTCATTATCTTTCCCTAGAACTATCTTAATTAGATCATGTGAAGTATCAGGATTCGGTTTGTGTGGCTTTCTGTCAGCGTTACTCTTCTGTTGACTCGGGTTTAATCGGCCTTATTTACTAACGTCATTTTTAACACTGTACAATGAGTCGACGCATGTCATTGGTCGAACATTTCAGGTGGGTATGTTCTTCTCTTCCACAATCTGTGTTTCACGATTTCCCTTTTACTGCAGGAACTTGTGAAAATTTCAAGTTTTGTAGAAGATCTGGATCATGCAAAAAGGCAGCCTCATTTTAATCACAGCTCTCGTCTTCCTGCGCACAAATTTCCCACCAAAACAATTCCACCTGCACGAATTAGAGAGAAAACCCTTCGCTTAGCTCCGCCCACAAACACTCTCATTGGTTAAGACATAAACAAACAAACCAGATACTCCTTCAGCTGATTGGTAATGAGGGGACCACTGGAGGAAACTATGTCAAAGCCAACTGTTGGAAATAAGTTAAATCAACCAAACGAACTGTGTGGACTCGACGCAGGTGCATGAATTTGAACCAACAGATGATTCACTGCTTCTTCTTCTTCCCTCATGTTCTCCTGCAGCCACTAAAGCTTTCGTCAGCTGCTCGACCGTCACCCGCCGAGTCCTCCGACTTCTACGTGTCCTCAAATACCCGGCGGGCCTGTTCGGAACCGATCCTGCAACCTGCTGGGACCTCGCTCTGTTTTTCCCGCCCCCCACGCAGAGTCGCTCCCTCGTCTTGTAACCCTGAACGTTGCTGCGCTTCGCCCTGAACCTGTCGCGGTGCCAGACCTGCTGCTGTTACAACCCGCTCTCAGAACATGCCATCCCGTCCCGGACCGAGGCCCGAGGCTTCCACGATTTAGTGTGAAAGTATCATCAGCTGTAGCCTCTTAGGATGTTGTTTATTTATATGTCAGTCGTCTGTTAATCTTCTGTTCATGATCAGCTGTCTGTGTGTTTCTGAAGTGATCAG